AGCCTTGAACTCCTGGGCTCAAGTGATCCTCCTACATCAGCTTCCAAGTCACTGGGACTACAGGCCCATGCCACCACACCTGGCTAATTTTTCTTTCTTTTTTTTTTTTTTTATAGAGACAGGGTCTCGCTATATTGCCCACACTAGTCTCAAAGTCTTGGCCTCAAGTGATCCTCCCACCTCCCAAAGTGTTGGGATTACAGGTGTGAGCCACCAGCGCGCCCAGCCCAAATGAATTTTAGAATCAACTTTTCAATTTTAGCAAGTTAGTCACCTGGAATTCTGACAAGGATTGCATTGAAGGTGCAGATTATTTCGGAAAGTGTCGCCATCTTAATAATATTAAGCCTTGTGATCCATGAAGATGGGATGATTTTCCATCTATTTCAATTTTCAGCTTTTCGATAAGGTTTGTAGTTTTTAAGAGTATAAGTTCTAGACTTCTTTTGTTAAATTTATTCCTATGTATTTTATTCTTTTGGGTGCTTTGTAAATGTATTTTTTTTCTTAATTGCGTTTTGAAATACTTCATTGCAAGTGTATAGAAATACAATTGATTTATGTAGTTTAATTTTGTGCCTTCAATCTTGATGAACTGATTTATAGTTCTCGTGGTTTGTTACTGGATTTCTTAGCATTTTCTCTATACAGTATCATATGATCCATAACTAAAGATAATCTTCCTTCTTCCTTTCCAATCTGAATGCCTTTTTTACCTAGCCCAATTGCCCTTGCTAGAACATTCGATACCACGTTGAATAAAAGTAGCAGGAATGGACATCTTTTTTTCTTTTTCCTTTTTTTTTTTTTTTGAGACAGAGTCTGTCTCTGTCACCCCAACTAGTTTGCAGGGGCATCTTCATAGCTCACTGCAAACTCAAATTCCTGGGCGCAGGCCATCCTCCTGCCTCAGCCTCCCAACTTTCTGGGACTACAAGTACATGCCAAGACACCCGGCTAATTTTTCTATTTTTAGTAGACTTCAGCAAAGTAGCAGGATATAAAAGTAACAGGCAAAAATTAGTTTCATATCTATATGCTGGCATTGAACAATCCCAGATGGAAATTAAGAAAACAATTCCATTTTCAGTTGTATCAAAAATAAAAAACAGAATTTCATTTAATCAAGGAGGCAAAAGACTTATACATTTAAAATTACACAATATTGCTGAAAATAATTTAAGAAGACATCCTACATATCAGGAATGCAAGAGTTAGTGCGGTTAACGTGTAGATACTATCCAAAGCAATGTACAGATTCACCACAGTGCCTATCAAAACCCAGTGATTTTTTTTACATAAATAAAAATAGAAATACCCATCTTAAAATTCATATGTCATCTCAAGGGGCTCTGACTAGACAAAACAGTCTTGTAAAACAAGAACAAATTTGGTGGACTCATACTTCCTGATTTCAAAACTTACTGCAAAGCTATAGTAATAAAAGTTTTGATACTGGCATAAAGACAGACATGTAGACTGATGGAACAAGGTAGAGATCGCAGAAATATACCTTTGTGTGTAGTGTCAAATAATTTTTGTCAAGGTACCAATACCATTCGATGAGAAGGATAGTGTTTTCGAAAAATGGTGCTGGGAAAACTGGACCTCCACATACAACAGAATGAAGTTGTACCCCTACCTAACACCATATGCAAAAATTTACTCAAAGTGGATCAAAGACCTAAGTGTAAGTCCTAAATCTATAAAACTCTAAGATGAAAGCACAGGCTAAAAGCTTTATGACACTGGATTTCGCAGTGATTTCCTGTATATGACACCAAAGGCATGAGTAATAAAAGACAAAATAAATAAATTGGACTGCAGGAAAATTCTAAACTTTTGGCATCAAAAGACAGAATCAACAGAGTAAAAAGGCAACACATAAATTAGGAGAAATTGTCTCCAAATCATATATCTGATAAGGGATTAATATGCAGCATATTTGGAGAACTCTTAAAACTCAAGAAAAAACAAACCTGTCAGACACTGAATGCCTATGTCCATCCAGATTTATTTGTTTGAACCTAATTCACTAATGTGACCGTGTTAGGAAATGGCATCCCGGGGAGTTAATTAGGATTCGATTAGGTTCTGAGAGTGGAGCCTCAGGAATGGGATTGGATTCTTGCAGTCCCCAGAAAGCTTGCTTTTGCTGCCTGCCTTGGGAGCGCACTGCAAGATGGCTGTCTATGAACCAGAAAACAGGCTCGTACCAGACTTTGAATCTTGGACTTCTTAGCGTCCAGGCCTGTGAGAAATAAATGTTTGTTGTTTAAGCCACTCGGTTTATGATATTTTTGTTGGAGCACCATGAAGTTGGACAGAAATTGGTACCCAGAAATGGTAGCGCTTGCAGAACTTACACTGGAGTGAAGGAGAGAGGAGAGTCATAGATGATTCCTGTTGTCCAGATCCCCTGCGGACTGTCCCTTCCTTGCTCCGACTGTCCCTTCCTTGCTCGGAGGAAGGCTTAGGGGAGATGTTTGGAGGGAACGTTAAGGATTGGGTTCTGGAAGAAGGCCCGCCCCTGCCTAGCGCTGTGTTCTGGAATGAGTTTGGCTCCCTCCAGTCACCTGTCTTAGCGCTTCTCAAGCTTCAGGGGGCGGAGCCTGGAGCTGCGTCACAATAGGGGGCTGGGGTGGGTGGAGCTTATCATCCAATCAGATGTGACTGGGAGCCAGTCCTTTGATGCTCAACCTCACTGGGCGAGGGTCCCCACTTGGTGTGTGGGGGTCGTGCATGGGAGGGGCTGTGGCCTGTCGGGTCCCCAGTCCCTTCCTTATCCTTTTAAAAATTGTAGCTCACTGTGACCTCAAATTCCTGGGCTCAAGCAATCCTCCTGCCTCAGCCTCCTGAGTAGCTGGGACTACAGGTACATGCCACCATGCCTGGCTAATTTTTATATTTTTAGTAGAGATGGGGTCTCTTGCTCAGGCTGGTCTCAAACTCCTTACCTCAAGTGATCCTCCTGCCTTGGCCTCCCAGAGTGCTAGGATTGCAGGCGTGAGCTACTGCGCCTGGCTGAGGCACTGTGATTTGTTAATGGAAAAAAACCCAAACTCTCTAAAATAAATAGGTTCATTCTGAGCAGACTGAGTGACAGAAACCCAAGAAGCCTTGAGTAAGGGGTCAGTTTACACTTTGGTTTGATATATTACAGGGAGACAGAAAGTGCAGCTTGAAAATCTTCTCTGCTAGTGTAGTCACAAAAGATGGGCTTAATTTCTCAGCTAACAAGTTCTGACAACACGTGAAATATTTTTTATCAGAGAAGCTCATTACAGATTGGGTACCTAGAGTGTTTTTGCGGGAAGCTCATCATGTAGGCACCCTGCATTGTGCATGTAACAAAATCCCAAACTGGGCCGGGCACGGTGGCTCACGCCTGTAACCCTAGCTCTCTGGGAGGCCGAGGTGGGCGGATTGTTTGAGCTCAGGAGTTCAAAACCAGCCTGAGCAAGAGCGAGACCCCATCTCTACTAAAAATAGAAAGAAATTAATTGGACAACTAAAAATATATATAGAAAAAATTAGCTGGGCATGGTGGCGCATGCCTGTAGTCCCAACTACTCGGGAGGCTGAGGCAGTTGGATCGCTTGAGCCCAGGAGTTTGAGGTTGCTATGAGCTAGGATGACGCCACGGCACTCTAGCCCAGGCAACAGAGTGAGACTCTGTCTCAAAAAAAAAAAAAAAAATCCCAAACTGTTACTGAACCTAAAAGGGGAAGGGGTTCAATGTTGCCAGCCGCACAGAAAGCCAAGTATTGAGATGGCGAGGATTGTCAGGAGGAAAGGATTTACTTCCATGGATGTATCAATAGGGAGGGGGAGGTATGAACTGTCTTAAATCTGCCTCTCCTACCAACAGGGTTAGGGGTTTTTTTTGCAGGCAAAATAAATGATGCATGAGGAGTGTGAGCATTATTGTGTGTTTGGAGTAGAGTGCAGGGCACACAAGTACAGTGAGAAATCCTGCTAGTACATACATCTCATGATCAAAAAATGGCAGGTAAGTCCCTCCCAGGGCAGAGATTTTAGTATTATAATGAGCTAGGGGTTAATATTGGTTGTTCTTTTAGCCTTGTGCACAGGCTCAGTGGGTCTTCGGGTACGGTCTGTGGTGGAGCATCGTTTATCTTGTCTTTTCCTGACAAGCAGGTGGTGTGAGGCTTTGTAGGAGGTTTCGCTGTTCCTGCGAAAGGAACTCAAAAGAGAATGTATCAGTACAATAGAAAGTTATAAAGTTCTGGTGAGCAAATTTTGCTAAAGAATTCTTTGTCTATTTTCTGCCTAATTGAGACTGTAGCTGTTAAGTTACCAAGGCTGAGATAAATGTTGCTGTCAAGGCCACTTAGAGCTGCCAGCTCCAGCCATGATGTGAACACTGAAAACTCATTTGAAATATGAGGGAACTAAAAACATTACTGAGAAAATATTTTTTTGCTTATAGAACCGGTTACAAAACTCTGAGAAGGAAAACAGGAGATGAAAAATTACCATATTTTTTCATAAACAGTTTAGGATCTGTGAGCTACTCTTATCATATGGGTTGGTGGAGGCCCTCCCCAATTCCTAGATACCAAAAATGGATGAACATTTCGAGGAGATGTTTTTAAGGATATGCAGTCTTAGAACTGCTAATATAAACTGTCTTCCGCACATTAAATGGTACAACTTTGTTATGACAGGTGCTTCAAAGTCCACTGTAGAGACAGTGCATGACAGGCTGTGACCCAGGAAACACATATTACTCCCTGGAACCACCAATGAGAGGCATGTTCATAGATTGCTATTGCTTCACCCAGAGGTTAATTCTAGTACCATAGTTGCTGTGTAAGAGGAAGTGTATGTGAACAGAGAGTAAGAGTCTGATGACCAAGTCATGGAATGGACGTTTGGAGACTACAGCATAGTGTGAACTTCTTATGAATTGAGTAGAGAGCCGCAATGCTGTCCATCTCACCCACTCTTCTCTACACACATGTGGGACGTTTCAGGACTCAGTGGCCTTTGAGGAAGTGGCCGTGAGCTTCACGCAGGAGGAGTGGGCTTTGCTGGAGCCTTCCCAGAAGAATCTCTACAGAGATGTGATGCGGGAAACCATCAGGAACCTGTCCTCCATAGGTAAAGATTATTTCAGTTCATCACTTAGTGAATTAGGGGGCCAATGTTTCTTATGTATTGACACTGCTCCATAATTGGAAACATGGAGAGAGAATGCTTTGGCAAATAAACCAAGCATAGTCACAATGTGCCATGAACCTAGAATCTAATAATTTCTATATAATTATGTACTAATTCATAATGATTTTTCTGGGTTTGTGTTTTAGGAAAAAAATGGAAAGACCAGAAAATTGAAGATCACTACAAACACCAAGGGAGAAATCTAAGGTAATTTGCTCTCACATAGAAAATTGATTTGACAGTATCTTAGCATGTCCTGAAATTTTATAAACAGGCAAACAAAATGGATAAGTCTATCCATTTTCAAATTTATTATCTATAGGAAAATTTTCTCCAAAAACATAATGCTTACATGTAAATAGATGTTCAGTGTTGGCAAAAAAATTTCACTTGGAAACAGAATTAAGAAACTCTGTATATAAATATCACTATGTAATAGCTGTGGTCAAGCCCTCTTGCAGAGCATTGAATCCATTCATGTTCAAACAAATCAGGTATGCCATCAAGTTTACACTTTCCATGATAATGTTAAAAATGTAAGTCTAATAGCTATTAATATAAAACCATTAATAAACAAATACTTAGTAACGTGCTTCTTATTCTTTACAGAAGTCATACGGTGGAGAGACTGTGTCAAAGTAAAGAAGGTAGTCAGTGTGGAGAAATTTTTAGCCAGAGTCCAAATCATAATCTGAGCAAGAAAACTCCTAGAGTAAAACCATGTGAAAGCAGTGTGCGTGGAGAAGTCAGCATGGGTCAGTCATCCCTTAAAAGGCACATCAGAGATCACCCTGAACGTGAACCAAATGAATATCAGGAATATGGAGAGAAGCCACATACACGTGACCAGTGTTGGAAAGCCTTCAGCCCCCACCACTCCTTTCGAACACCTGAAATTATTCACACTGGAGAGAAACTCTATGATTGCAAGGAATGTGGGAAAACTTTCTTTTCTCTCAAAAGAATTAGAAGACACATGATAACGCACAGTGGATATATACCGTATAAATGTAAAGTGTGTGGGAAAGCCTTTGATTATCCCAGTAGATTTCGAACACATGAACGAAGTCACACTGGAGAGAAACCCTATGAATGTAAGGAATGTGGGAAAGCCTTCACTTGTATCACAAGTGTTCGAAGACACATGGTAAAGCATACTGGAGATGGACCTTATAAATGTAAGGTGTGTGGAAAACCCTTTCATTCTCTGAGTTCATTTCAAGTACATGAAAGAACCCACACTGGAGAGAAACCCTATAAATGTAAGCAATGTAATAAAGCTTTTGTTTCTTCCCCATCTTTACGAATACATGAAAGAACTCATACTGGAGAGAAACCTTATGCATGTAAGCAGTGTGGGAAAGCCTTCAGTTATCTCCCCTCCCTTCGATTACATGAAAGGATTCACACTGGAGAGAAACCCTTTGAATGCAAACAGTGTGGTAAATCCTTTAGATCTATCAGTACCTTTCGAATACATGAAAGGACTCACACTGGAGAAAAACCCTATGAATGTAAGGAATGTGGGGAAGCCTTCAGTTGTATCCCAAGTTTTCGAAGACACATGATAAAGCACACTGGAGAGGGACCTTATAAATGTAAGGTATGTGGGAAACCATTTCATTCTGTGAGTCCATTTCGAATACACGAAAGAAGTCACACTGGAGAGAAACCCTACGAATGTAAACATTGTGGTAAAGCTTTTGTTTCATCCACATCTATTCGAATACATGAAAGAATTCATACTGGAGAGAAACCCTATCAATGTCAGCAGTGTGGGAAAGCCTTCAGTTATCTCAACTCTTTTCGAACACATGAGATGATTCACACTGGTGAGAAGCCCTTTGAATGTAAACAGTGTGGTAAAGCCTTTAGATCTTCCAGTTCCTTTCGAATGCATGAAAGGACTCATACTAGACAGAAACCCTATGAATGTAAGGAATGTGGAAAAGGCTACTTTTGCCATGCAAGCTTTCAAAAACACATGATGACACACTGGAGGTGGACCTTATAAATGTATGTGGGAAGTTCGATGTTCCAAATTCATTGCAAATACATGAAAGTACTCACACTAAAGAGAAAATGGCCTTTTGAATGTAAGCAGTGTGGGAAAGCATTAAATTGTGTCAGTGCCTTTTTAATACATGGAAAAAAATCATACTGGAAAGAAGCCATTTAAATGTAATCAGTGTGGGAAAGCCTTCAGTTAGCACCACTGCTTTTGAATACATGAGAGCACTTACTGGAGAGAAACCATATAAATGTAAACAATGTGGGAAATCCTTTAGTTCCTTTTAATTTTGAATACAAGAAAGAAGTCAACTGGAGAGAAAACCTATGAATATAAGGACTATGGGAAAGTATTCTATTGTTGTAGTTACCTTCAAAGACATAAAGAGCTCACACTGGGAAAGAAACCCGGAGTGTACAACATGTGGTAAAGTCTTCACTAGCTTCACTTACTATCTAACACGTGAAAGAACTCGCACTAGAGAGAAACGCTACAAATATAAGAAATGTAGTAAAAGCTTCAGTTGTTCTAGTTCCTTTCAAATACATGAAAGAACTCATCATGGAGAAAAAGCAAATACTTTTTGAAAGGAACTCATATTTGGGAGAAATCCTATGTAAAGAACATGGGAAAGGTTTTATCATCACACAGTCTTTCTATCACATATAAGACTGCATAGCGGAGAGAGCCTCCGTAAATGTAAGGAGTGTGGGAAAGCCTTTAATCATTTTAGCCCAATTTGAAGCCATGAAAGAACACACAGAAGAGAAAAAGCTCTTGAATATAAGCAACGTCCCAAAGTCTTTAGTGAACCCACATGCTTACAGCAATATGTAAGAATGCACACTGGATCAAACCCTCTAAATGTGAAGAACGCAGGAAGGTTTTCAATTTTAACAAATAACTTTCAGTGTCATTTGAAAACGCTTAATGTAGCAAAATCTTATAATATGAAAAGCCTCATGCACACCAATTCATTTATAGTGCTCCAGAAAATATACAACCTTAAAGAAATGTAGAAGTAATAGATGGTGTTCATTAGTGGCTCATACTTAAAATAGTTCTGGACTATGAATATTTAATTCTTACTCTCACAAAGAAACATTGAGTTCATATAATTCTGTAAGTAATCTTAAAGCATTGTGCATGAGTTTAATAGGAAGTGTTGTTTTAGGTCAGTTAATACAATTTTTGTCTTTCCATTTTGAAGTGTGTTTAATCCATGTGTGAATTTAAATGTTATTTCTGATATTCAGGTACGTCGAATTTTTATATGGTTGTTTAATTGTTCTGTGATTGAGGGCTGTTGAAAAAATAAGTCTTTGTTAATAAATGTTGGCATATACCTACTGGCCTCATTTAGCAAGTTCATGATTTTCTTACCTATTATATATATTTCATTTTTATGGGAACAACTATTTCTCCCCCTTGGCACAAAGAAGTTAATTCCGTTTTCCTTCCTAATAAAGAGCTGGCTTCTATTTATGTGTATGTAAAGTTTATCATAGACTATAGTCCCGTGAAAAGTATTATTTTCATCTGTTACTGTTTACTCTTTGTAATTTATTCTGGCTGTTATTTGTATAATTGATTTTGGGATAAGGAGCAAGCTGTGATAGGACAATAAAATCTAGAATGGGAGATGCCATTCATGGATTGTGTTATGTCAATGTGGGTAATGTTGGGAAATAAACTTTCCAGAATTTGTTTCTTTTATGATTCTACATTAGACTTCATCAATAGCCTAACTTCCAGGAAAGTTGGAAGGCAGAAGTGAAGAAGGTGTTAGTCAGATTTTGGAGGCATGATATGGGCAGACAGATTCATATGGGCTGTGTGGACACGTTCATGTAGCTCATTCTCCTGATCCTTTGTCGTGCCAATCAAGAGTGTCTTTTAAATCACCGCCAACTACTTCACCTCCACGTTCTCAGGTGTAGGTTTCCAGAGTTGTCTTTACAAGGTCCATATCAAAGATCCAACTGCCATTTGGATTTTTTTGAAAGCCATAATGGGTCCACCAAGTAACCAATTCAGATTGTCATGGTTGGGAATATTCTGATGATCTGACATGGGTCTCCTCTTAATTATATTCATATAAGGTCCAATTTGTATATAAACACCTTTGCTCATATGGATAGTGACTGTTACTGATTCAGGATGAGAGCTACAATGGTGCCATCAAAAAAAGAAGGAAAGAAAGAAAAACAGCTATATGGAGCTTGTTCCTCTAATGCACTGTGCAGTGACTGGTTTCATCCAGTCCTTTCATGTGAGAATAAGCACCATATTCATCTCAGGAAGATTGCGGGTGTTTTACTGTTACCTCAAAGCTGAATGTAATCTCTTATTTTATTTTATTTATTTTTTTAGAGTCTTGCTCGGTTGCCCTGGGTAGAGTGCAGTGGTGTCATCATAGCTCACTGCAATCTCAAACTCCTGGGCTCAAGCGATCCTCCTGCCTCAGCTGGGAGTAGCTAGGGCCACAGGGTGCCACCACCATGCCCGGCTAATTTTTCTATTTTTAGTAGAGACAGGGTCTCAGTCTTGCTCAGGCTGGTCTTGAACTCCTGAGCTCAAGCGACCCTCCTGCCTTGACCTCCCAGAGTGCTACGATTACAGATATGAGCCACCGCGCCTGGCCATCTCTTAGTTTATTTTGAATTATATTTGATTATGTGATTAATAACAATATGCATATCTTCCTCAAACAAAACTTCTCTACATGTTTCTTAGAAATACTAGCAGTGTTCAGACAACTTGCATACTATCAAATGAGTTTTTTATTTAGTGAGATAATATATTAAAATATTTCATTGCAATCATGCATCAGATAAACTTTATTATTTATATATATCTTAAGATCATTGAGTAAGATAAACTTTATAGTTTTGCTAAGTTATTAGTTCAATATTGTGAGTCAATATTACCATGTTCTTACAACTTCAGGCCTTTTTTTCCCTCACATAAATTTTAGTTTTCATGCTTATTTAGGTACAATTTTTATGATAATAATTTCTCATTCACTCATAATACCAAACATTAAATCATGTTGTAGTGACTTCTTGCCAAAGACCACCAGGACCTGTTGTCAAACAGATTGTAATAAATTATAGTAATAAATATGACCACAAACCATTTACTGTGAGATGTATCAGTAAGATGGTATTCAAAAGAATTTCTCACAAGGTTTGTCTTTGTTTTAGACTAATTTATTTCTATTTAAGGAGGTAAGACATTTCTTTATATTGGACGTAGTGAAGGGATTAGTAGAGAATGGGGAAATTTTGGCCATATTTACGGTTTAGGATGTATTTCTCTTTTCCATTTTTATAGACATGGTTACAGAATGTTTTTGTCTTGATTCATCTCGGTCACTCAGGATCATTGTCTGATGCTGGACATGTTTGTCATATATCTCTTCAGCAGCAGAAGACTTGGCCTTGAGGTGAGTGTGAGGCCAGCTCCCAGGCTTGTGAGTGGACCTGGTTTTGCCTTTTTCAATATCTAAACACCAAAATGTTTCCTATGATGGACACTGTCTTCCATAAAGTACCTCAACTAAAATATATAAATTTATATACTCCTTAGCAACTATATGATGTGTAAATTAGGCAAATATGTTTACATAACTTGTCATAATACAAACTTAGGAAGGGACAGAGAGAGCATCACTCTTTCAATCAAGCCTTTTTTTTTTTTTTTTTGCTCGGATAGCATGCTTGTGGTCTTGTTAGTGACTCGTCAGCCTCCCTCAGACTCCAGAATTGTAGACTCTAAACATAATGGAATTCAGCACAAATAATCCAGGCACAGAGGGCTCCAGAAATAGACATGAAATAAACTTTTTGTAATCCTAGTGTGTTATCTTTTTGAGGAAAGAGGTGGTGAACAAATGGCAGTATTTTGGTTTGTAAGATGGAAGTGAGGGCTTCGAACAACGCAGATGGTGACATGTGAGATGATGAGCTGGTGTATGTTTGTCTTCTCTGTGGGGGTCTGAGAGGTCAGTGAGGGAAGATGTCATTGTGATCACTTCTGTTTCCACGTCTTCAACACTCTTTCAGGACTGTTCAGGTGTGGATGTGGACGGTGGACACAATAGAGACAGTTGTCCATTCCTGGCACTAACCATAATGATTCCCCATAAAGATAGAGGAGTGGTGATTTTTATTTACCACTGGTTAACAGTTACAGGTCATGCAATATGTTATCTTGAGTTTGGCCATGGGATTCTGGGACTTGAGGTTACTCATTACTTTGGGCCTCAGTTGCTTCCTGTTTCTGAAAGGGTCGTGGTCATCTGCACAGTAGCCCATCATGGGCTTCCATGAGCACTGTCACTGTCTGTACAAGCCCACTGTGATGTAATTTCCTGCTTGAAACAACGTGTTTAGAAGGAAATTGTATGTCTTCTTATCTGAGGAGTAATTGAGGCGAGCTGCAGAGGTTTTGAGTATCCTCACTAATATCTGTTAGTGGAAATAGAGAGATATTTGCCGTACTCAAAGTGTGACATTTTTACTGTCTTCTTAGGAGAGGAATAGCTGGGACATTGTGTTTTAATAACCCACAAAGCCCCAAAGTTTATCTTGCTGTTCGCAGGTATCATTTTCATATGCGTAGGCTTCAGTACATGTCAGCGGTGGGAGTAACAAACAAATTCAGTAACATGGGAGGAGAGAAAGACAACATGCAGAAGTTATTTTTGTATCTCTATGCTGATATCGGACAATCCCATCACTTCATAGATGGTGTCAGGTAAGCACCTGGCCAGAAAAGCCTTGTTGAACCCCCCCCCCACCCCCGAGTAAACATCTCAGGTATCACGGGGCAGAGTAGCAATAGATGAGGGATTTTGTGTATCCACATGAGTGAAGGGTGGAGTCATTTTTTGGTCAGATTGTACAGAGTCATTTGGATCAGGGAAGAGATGCCAGTGACAGATGTTCCTAATACAACCAGTCCCTCATCCTCCTCCCTTGAAGGCCAATTCTATGATGATAGTATTGCCCCAAGAGTAGAAACACTACCATCAACATGGCTCTAAATGTGATTTTCCAGCTGGGTGCAGTGGCTCATGACTGTAATCCTGGCACTTTGGGAGACTGAGGCGGGAGGATGGCTTGAGCCCAGGAGTTTGAGGCTGCAGTGAGCTATGACGACGCCACTGCACTCCGGCCTGGGCAACAGAGTGGGACCCTGTTTCCAAAAAAAAGCTTTTGAACACCACAATAAAAGTTAAATTTAAAT